AGGGAGAGGCTTTAACCCACTGAGCCACCCAGGCACCCTGACAACACTTACGATTTTAAAAGTATATCCAAAAGTCAGATATCCAATGAGCAATATCTCATGATTAAATATATTAAAAGTAATTTCTGAAATATTATGCACTTTGTCACCAGTGTATTCCCCATTTGTTTGTGAGTTCTGGTCAAGAAGAAATATACAACGTGTGGGGTTAAGCACGGCAATTTAATCCTGGTTCCACCCCTGGTTTGCAATGTTGCTTTGCACAAATTATTTAAAGTTTCTTTGTTTTTCCTGGGGCACCTCGATGGCTCAGGTCATGATCCTGGGGTTCTAGGATGGAGTCCCCCAGCAGGCTCTCTGATCAGCAGGGAGTCTGCATCTCTCTCTCCCTCTGCCCCTCCCCGCTGTTTGTAGGCTCTCTCTCGCTCACTGTCAAATAAATAAATAAAATATTTTAAAAAAAATAAAGCTTCTGTGTCTTTCCCAGCTTTTATTATGCTTTCTATTTCAGAGTCATACTAATAGATTACATCTGGTAGTATATGTTTCATTTCTCCTAAGCTCTGGGAATGGAGGTATATAAAATGTCCCCTTTCTGATGCCTGTGGAAGAATAACTGGTCAAGTATGAAAGCTCTTCACCTACCAAAGTTTCTTATACCTACAAAGGAATTTGTGTCAAAACTTGACCTTAGCACTGTAGCCTTTTATAGTATAGTTATAGTAAAAGGATACAGGAAAGGGTTGTTTTTCTATATATATATCTTATTATTCCTAAGGATGTTTATATCATTCCTTGCCCTGTCCACACCTTTTTCTAAACATGCCTCAGGAGACAGAATAGGGGTTCTCTTCCAAAAAATAAACCACAATAAAGCCAAGCCAAACTGGAACACCTCCCAGGCAGCTTATTTTTCTTATTTTAGGGTGGGTGTGGTCCCTAGAGAGAGACTTCATTCTGATCAAGGCACTTGGGATAAAATTTAGGGATATTAAACCTAAAGTTAGAAAAATAGAGGGAAAAATGGCATAAAAAAGTTTCACTTTTTTTTTTCTGTTGTTTTGGGTATAGAATTTAGTGATTCATCACTTCCATATACCACCCAGTGCTCATCACAAGAGCCCTCCTTAATCCCCATCACCCATTTAACCCATCCCTCCACTCTACTTCCCTCCAACAATCCTCAATTTGTTCTCCATAGTTTAAAAAAAAATGAAGGGGTACCTGTGTGGCTCAGTCATTAAGCGTCTACTTTCGGCTCAGATCATGATCTCAAGGTCCTGGATGGAGCCCGGCATGGGACACCCTCCTCAGTGGGAAGCCTGCTTCTCCCTCTCCCTCTGCCCCTGCCTGTGTTCCCTCTCTCTCTGTCAAATAAATAAATAAAATCTTAAAAATAAAAATGAAACTTTCAGCTCCATGGTCTTTCCATCATGGAAGCCAGGTTTCTAGGAAATTGCCATATGCTCTCTAGAAACTCCCTGGGGTTGTGTTTTTCTCAGTCCTGAGATAAAACAAAGAGATAGTGAATATTGAGAAAGGGAGGCAAGGAGGGAGAAAAGGAAGGAGGAGGAAGGGAGAGAAAGAAAGAGAGAGAGAAGAATCAAGAGTAGAAAAATTTCCAAATGACCAGGGAGAGATGACTCATTGGAAGAGAATTTTTAAAACTTTGTTCCTTAGCAGAAGATATCTTATACTTCTTTGATCTTCTGTCTTAGAGACAACCTTAGGAAGGATGATCTGTTTACACAGATATAACTATTATTAAATAATATTCTAATTCCTTAAGTCCATGCCCTCATTCTACAGTAAGGATTTAACATTATTCTTTTTGATCCTTTGGACAGAAGATTAGCACTTCTGGTGCCTGAGTATTATACAAGGAAAGATGGGTTTCTTAAGGGATCATTTGGTTGATTTCCACAGTTGTTCTTTTCCTTTACCCTCTTATTAAATAGTAAAATAATTTTGGCCAGGGAAATAGCAACTATAAGAAGGAACAACATTTAAAAAATAGTTTATGCCTGGAGTGCCTGGTTGGCTTAGTTGGTTAAGTGACAGATTCTTGGTGTCAATTCAGGTCATGCTCTCAGGGTCTTGAGATCGAGCCCCGTGTCCGGCTGTGCTCAGCACAGAGTCTGCTTGAGATTCTCTCTTTCCCTCTCCCTCTGCCCTTCATGCTCATGGTTGCTCTATCTCCCTCTCTCAAATAAATAAATAAATAAATAAATAAATAAATAAATAAAATACTTTTAAAAATAGTTTATGCCTTTCAAATGTGTACTAATATAAATAGGTTTGAGCAGGGATAGACAGGCATATAACAGACATTTATATATAAATGACACACTCATTCATTCAATGTTAATTGAGCTTCTTCCATCTGATGTTCTAGGTGCTAAAATTGATGTTCTTCTAGTGAATAAACAGACTATAATAACCCTCTCCAAAAGGATCTTACTTTCTACAGCTATAAACCAAAAGAAATGAGTAAGGTGTATCATATACTTGATGGTAACAAGATGTATGGAGAAAGATAAAGCCATCACAGTGGTGGGTTCACATATGCACTGGTATTTCTGAAATCTAGAATCATCTACCTACTTAAGTTTCTTGGGCTACACAGAACTTTCAAGAGACTTAGGGTTTGGAGAGGATGTTTAGCTCAAGCCTCTGATCTTGTTCTTTTATGTTCTGGTGACTTGAGATACTCTTAAGGTCAATGCATTGAGAAGCCAACAATTTCCAGGAAAATTTAGACCAAACTACTTAGGCAAGCTAATTGAAAGAAATAAGAGAGAAAACAAATCTCTCCAGTATCTGTTCATGTTTCAGAATCTCACACAAGTCTGAATAGAGACCAATATGGCTAGAAGATGAATTTAGCTGAATCCAGAAATACTGCTGTCAGAAATACTGCTGAAAAGTCAATAAAGTTTTAAAAAAATCAGTGAAGTGTGACTATAGCTAATCCTCTGTGCCTCTATAAAAATTACATAGTTAAAGTCATATTAAGTTTTTACAGTTTTATTCTTTATTCATTTACTCATTCAAATACGTATTCAGCCCTTATGTGCCACGTACTACTTTCAGTACTGAAAATATACTGGTGAACAAGACAGACAAAATTACTGTTTTCATGGGGGCACCTGGGTGGCTCAATTGTTAAGTGTCTGCCTTTGGCTCAGGTCATGATCCCAAGGTCCTGGGATCTAGACCCGCATCAGGCTCCCTGCTTCTCCCTCTCCCACTTCCATTGATTGTGTTCTCTCTCTCACTGTGTCTCTCTCTGTCAAATAAGTAAATAAAATCTTAAAAAAAAAAAAGATTACTATTTTCATGGAATGTACCTTCCATGAGAGGGAGGATATACAGGAAAACAAACACATGAAAACCATGAAAATATTAATAATCTAATTTTTAAGAAAGCTATGTAATGGTGTTATGTATTAGAAATGAACTCATGGAGTTCTTCCAAGGATGCACATTTAAATGGAAAGCTGAGTATCAGGGAAAAGCCTACCAACAACTTGCTGAAGGTTAATTAACAGGGAGCAGAGGCAGCCCTAACTCCAAAGATACTAGGACTGGGACAAGCTTGTTTGTTTCAAGGACAGAGACCATTGTATGTAGAACACTTGAATGGAGGGAGAGTAGTTCAGAAAAGGATGCAAGAAGTAGGTAGGGTCCAGAAGAAAAAGACTCTGGCAGAATTTTAAGTGCAAAAAAGTTATTGAAAGTTTTTAAGTTGGGGACTAACATAATCAAATTTCAATTTTGTTAAAAAGAGAAATCTGAATCTTCACAAGGAGTGATTTGGATTTTATTCTAACTGTAATGAGATCCACTGAAAATTTTTAACAGACATGATTAAGGGAAAATAAGATTCACTTTTTAAAATATATCAATCTCAATGTCTGCTCCATGATTTTTCCTTATTTTCCTACTAGATTATAAATTTCAAAGGATAGTAATCATATTTTCCATTTCTATCTTTCCCACTTATCATTCCCCACTTGGAAATAATGTGTAACACAAATCTCTGTATGTAGACTACATTATGTAGAGGACTTTGCTAAAGAGGAAATGAATTTGTATGTCTTTAATCTTTTAAATTCAAGTCCTAATGAAGTGAAACACAGGTCTTGGAGACTGATGGAAGTTTTATTGAGGTTGTGGCTCTCCCTTTGTTTCATTTTAATCACAATGCTAGATGCTACATGCACCTAAGAGGTTGAGGGGAGGGAGGGTCTTCCTTCTCTGATATCACAGGTCATTTAGAATGACAGCTAACTTCACTAGATGATGGGTTCACTGTTGACTCAGTAGAGCCTCTGTAATTAACACCAGGCAAACTCGTGGGGGCGTAGCATTTATTATTTAACTGTTCAAAATTGAGTTAGCTTAGATCCGTCCTTGATAAACTGATGATCATGTCTCTTTATAATCCATTTTTGCAGAGATAGAAATCCAATGAACTAAAAGAGGGACTTTTGATAAAGAAATCCCAAAAAGGAAAAGTAAAATGATAATTTCTCATTACCAATATGCAATTTTCTTTTCAGTGGAAGCACATATGGAACTCAGTGGCAAGGTGTTTTGCAAAAGTAACAACAAATGAATTTCACCTCTTCTCTGATGATGTGAAAAATTGTTCCCTGTTCAGGCATTCGCATGTCTTTCATAACTCGAATTTTGACAAAAAGAAGGTTATGCACACAACTTTATAAAGATAAGGGCAATGCATAACTTGACTCGGGGCTAAGCAGAACTGAGGGTGTCAGGGTTATGCAAATGGGCCAGGCACTTGAGGGAACCCTGCTGTGGAAGGGAGTCTTGGCACTGAGCCTTCTGACAGTCGTTCCAAGGACAGAGGGAGTGTTATCTAGCCTCTGCTTACTGTTGCTCTTTTCCAGAACCAGCTCTTCTGACTTGCTGGTGGAATGGATCCAAGAGAAAGACAAATCGAAATCCTGCCTTTTCCTCTCTGTTCCCTGCAGGGCACCGGCCTCCCTCTTCAGTTTGGCGTCCAGTGGCCCTGACCCTGCTGACTTTGTGTTTGGTGCTGCTGATTGGCCTGTTAGCCCTGGGCCTTGTGTGTAAGTCTGCACTCTGACTAGGGGGAGGACCATGGTTCTAAGGTTTGTCTAGGATGAGAAATACTTGTTATGGATTTTTTTTTTTAACTTTAATTCTGGAACCTGTGGATAATTCAATGCATCTTATTCTATTTGTTGTTGTTGTTGTTGTTGAAGATTTTATTTATTTATTTGACAGAGAGAGAGACACGGAGAGAGGGAACACAAGCAGGGGGAGTGAGAGAGGGAGAAGCAGGCTCTCCACTGAGCAAGGAGCCTGATGCAGGACTGCATCCCAAGACCCTGGGATCATGACCTGAGCCGAAGGCAGATGCTTAATGACTGAGCCACCCAGGCGCCCCTCAATGTACCTTATTCTAAAGCACTTATTGAGATGATGAGCAGCGAAAGCAGCATTAAAATACAGCAATCACTCGACAGCTAGACTTTTACATTCTGTTTGAGATAAGCAGGTTTTATCTGTTTGTCTACATGCCAATATTTAAAATCAGCATTTTTTTTTTTTTTTTTTTTGAGCGGGCCAGGGGAGGTCTCTAGATGAGGAGGAGCAGAGGGAGTGGGAGAGAGAAAAACTTAAGCAGGCACCAGGATGAGGGCAGAGCTACACCAGGGTCATTACCCTGATATCATGACCTGAGCAGAGATCAAGAGTCAGATGCTCAACTGACTGAGCCTCTAAAATCAACAATTTTTAAAGAATGTATGATTTAGCTCTCTTTCGTTCTACTAAACAGTACAGGCTATGGTTTTTGCTCTTAGTATGCATGGTTCAGCAGCTAATACAGAGAGGAGATTTCGTTTATAGCTACTCCCCTCCTCCTATAAAGAGAGCAGAATAGGTTCTTAATTTCTACAGTATTTCTCAAAAATTTCAGGAAATTTTAGAATCATTTTGCAAAATCTTGTGAAAACTGAAAAAGGAAAAATGCATATTGAAAAGTCTTTTATTTTCAAACATGGAAGACAAGCTCAAAAAGTAAAAAAAAATAAAAAAATAAAAAAAAAATAAGAAAGTGGGTGAATTTGCTTCATGAGATTGAGACCCTACAGTAATGTTTCCTGACCAGTTGAAGAAGGTGGCTTAAGGTAAAAGGTTACATTGAAGAGCAGGTCAAACATTTGGTTTTTCTAAGAAATGTTTGAACTTTCCTTCATTATCGTAACTTTTTAAAATTAAAAAAAATATATTTCTTAGTGTTTCTTTCATGGACCCCCAATTATTACTTCATTTTGATATAATTTGTTCCACAACCACAATTCTTTTTAGGGATATAAAGCAACTTTCATGATTCATGAAGGATTTCTCTATTTAGATTTAGAAATCTGGAGCTTAAACCTAAGTGTTGAAATTTTCTAGCCAAGTGATACTAAGGAAATTGCTTGTTCTCACTGACCCTGGTTGGAAGCTATAAGATAATGGAAATGATAATATGACTATTTTATGAATGAATGAGATAACTATATGTGGTACATTGTCAATACTCAGTAATCAATATAATAATCAATAGATAAATGGATTTGTGGTTTTAGGTTGAGCAGTGGTTTAAGAGTATACACAAACTATTTATTGAGCAATAGATATGGTTAAGGAATTGAGTCCTGAAGTTAGAAACTGTTACTATGATTCTACATTTTCAGACAAAAAGATGGATTCAGAGACATTAATTTGCCCGAGACAATGCAGTTTATCATGTGCTACAGTTCAACTTGAACACAGGCAGTATGAAATCACAGAGCATGAGATCTAAACAATACGACGTTTTGTCTTCCCCACATGAAAAAGTAGAAATAGAAATGAAAAAGTGGCCTGTCCAGTCTGACTTGATAACTTGGGTTAGTTTTTCAGTTCTACCAACTTTCCAATACCCAGCAAGATAGCATTTCTCACAAGGAAGAAAGATTGGGGAATCTCTCCCGACAGCTGCAGTCTCTCCAAACCAGGAACAGGAAGCTTGCGGAAATCCTGCAGCGTGTGGCTGAAAAACTGTGTCGTGAGCTCTATAACAAAAGTGGAGGTGAGTAGGGATCGCTAAGCTCCCTCTGCTAAAGTTGGCTCCCTCAGGCCAGTTGTCATTATACAGCTGACCTTCCTATCCGAGTGCCTGGAAGTCACATGTCATATAGTTAATTGTCTGGCAAGCTTCATGAAGAATTTGGGCACCTGGGTCATCCCCCGTCATTGGGATTGTTTAGTTTGGATACGTCTGTGTTGTAATACATAAAGGGATTCTTCAAACTCAGACATTTTAAACAATAAAAGCAATTAATGTCCAATAACCAAAATAACACTGCAAATATATAACACAGGGTTATTTCTCAGTTTACCTCGGCACCTAAAGACCTACCAGTAGTATACATTTCATAATATGTTTATACACTTTTCTCCTTAAGAATTTAACAAGCTCATAAAATTTCTCACATTTCAAGAATCATATGGGGATCAGTTTAAAAATGTTGAAGGGCGGAATCAAATTACAGTTATTTAAATCCACTGCGCCTTGTCTGGGTGCCATAAATTGGCATTTCAGTAATAATGACAATGCCAGTGGGGATGAACCATGCTTTGATAATCATGTCAGGACAAGACAGGAAGCATCACTTCATTCTTGTACCTTTCCCTCCCATCTTTTTGGGGGTTTTGTAGCTTCTAACTCTTCAAGTTAGCCTTCCCTTCTGTTCCACTCATCTTGCATGTATAGGAAACAACATACATTCTAAGTCACCACTTTTTATTTTTCTTTTGGGGACTTTAAATTAGGATGAAGTCTTCCTCTTCCACTTCCCACACTAACCAGAAGGCCAGATTGCGTGGTTACCCAGTGAAATAACACCCACAAGCACATTACCACTTCTCTAAGTGATTCTTCCCCACATGATTAATGATCTCATCGGTCACAGTTTTTTTTCTTTTCTTTTTCTTTTCTTTTTTAACTTTAGTGAGGATGGACACATGGAATTGAATGTATTTAAAATGCACAATGTGATGATTTGACATACATACACATTATACAATGATTATCAAGTTCAAGATAATTAATATATCTACCACTTCACATAGTTTTGTTTTCTCTTCTTATGTTTCTGACAACCCACTGTGTGTTTGTTGGGGGCCATGTCATCAAAAGATAATCCAAGTTTCTTTGAAACCAGTGGTCTCGGGAATTTACATCTAGCTGCATAAAGACAAAAAGAAAACTGTGTATACAAATAAACTACATTTTGTTTTAATATAAAATCTATATGCAAATGTATTCATGATATTCCTGTTCCCATGAAAATGTTCATAAAGCTTTGGTTTGATGTTAGTTCTCAGTGTTATTCTGCTTCTCTCCATTTCTTTCCCATTATCCAACCATCCATCTACTCTGCCACACAAGGTAAGATTTACTGAGCACATACTGTTGCATATGATGCAAAACATATACAGATTTCTGCCCTCATAGACCTCTTATTCTATTACAGTGATGGTAATAATCAATTAAAAAAGGTAAAATAAGATGATCAACTCGTCCCAGTTTGCTCAAATCTTCTCCAGTTTTAGTATTAAAAGTCCTACAATTTGGGAAAGCCTAGGTTTCAGGCACGCAAGAATGGTTGGCCAAACTAAATATAATATATAAGAAGGTAATCAATCCTATGGAAAATGAAGTAGATAAAGTACGAGGCATCAGGATTCCTGGATGGTGGGTTGCTAATTTACATAGGGATACCATAAATTCCTAATTAAGATAAGGGTATAGCAGCAAAGATTTGAAGAGTTAGGGGGGTTAGCTATGTAAGCATATGGAGAAAGAATAAGCCAGGTAGAGAAAACAGGAAGTGCCCTGAAGTGTGAATGGAGGTGCATATTCAGGGAACAATACGGAGTCTGTGTGCGTGAAGCAGAGTGAGGGAGGGGAGGACAAATAGATGTGGTAGTGATTATATATTGCATTAGGTGACATTACCAGGGATTTGGCTTCTATTCTGAGCAAAGTAAGGATTCATTACAGGATCTTGAGCAGAAGAAATATAGATCTGACATGAGCATTTTAAGGCTCACACTGCAAATATGTTGAAAATACACTGGAAGGAGGAAGAGTGAAAACAGAGAAATCACCTAAGAGATGGCTTTTGTAAGTAACCCAGGAGAGAGATGATGGTGCCTCAAACTAGGATATTATCAGAGGAGATGAATGCATGATGGAATAAAAGGGGACATGAGAGAAATAAAGGAGTCAAGGATGGTTCCAGAGTTTTGGGGCAAAGCAATTAGGAGAGATGTGATCAAATGAAATGGGGAAGAATTCTGTGGTTATGAGTGGGGAAGTTTAGGGAGCAGTAGTGCTATTTTGGGCATGTTTAAGTAGAGATCTGAATAAGTAGTTTGGTATAAGGTCTGGGCCAGAAATATGAACTGACATACAAAGGCATCTCCTCAATTATTTATTTATTTTAAACTGTTTTACCTTAAGGAAGGTTTCCAATATACAGAAAAAATGAAAACAATAACATAATATCCAAGTGCATGTTGACCATTCAACTTTTAACATGTTAACATTTGACACCGGATTGTTCTTAAAATAAAGACGTTTTTAGGGAATGATTGAGTTCCCATCTCACCATCAGGGAGCTGATTACAAGTGACAACTCTCAAGGGCTCAAGTATCCTCATCAAAGTTAAAACCATGGCTCTCAGGGACTAGTTCTTATACTTATGACCTCTTCCTCAGTAGTCCATCTCACCCTCGACTTTTGCACTTACTTCACTGACTTTGGTGTCCACCTTAATTTCTGACAATGGAGATTTATCATTCTAAATCATACTTTGCTTAGTATTGATGTCTTTTTCTTCTAAAATTTTATTTACTTGTGTTTAGAATAAGAAAAGGGTCCATATCTTATTGGTATATGTTGAATTACAGCAATCCTTTTATAATTATATAAGAGGATTTTGAAGAAGAAAATTGTGGAAGCTTCAGTTCTTTCTTAAATATAAGCCATAATGAGTTTTTGGACATATGAGAAGTTCTTTATGAAATTGAATATCCTCTGTGGGTTGAATTATATAGGGCAAGAATCAAGGAAGTTCTAATCATTCATTGCTAGATTCCAAATTCCATGAAAGCAGGTAGTGTCTGTTTTAATTTTTACCATACACTCAGTATTAATTATAGTTTCTGGCATATGGAGAGTATTTTATAAGCATTTGCCATTACCATTCCTGGGCAATTAAATATCTAAAAGAAAGTACTCTAAATATTAAGAATACTTGAGTCATCAAATACTATATAATTCCAGGACAGGAAAGACGGCAGACCTGGATAGAAAATAGTATTAAAATTGGTTTCTTTCCAAGAGCACAGATGCAGCCCTTGTCCAGAAGAATGGAAGTGGCATGGGGACAAATGCTACCGATTCTATATAGAGAGTAAGAATTGGCAAGGCTGTGAATATTTCTGCATTGCTGAGAATGCGACCATGCTGAAAATAAACACACAGGAAGTGCTGGTAAGATCCTGGTCAGTGCTTGAATTATTCTCAAAAAGAGATCCTTAAAAGAGCTATACAAGAATATTAAGGAGTCAGTGTCCCCAGACTTTCGCCCTTACTGCAATCTCTTACTCCTATTGTTTTGAGTGATTCCTTGAGTATATAAAAACTGTTCTGCTCTCCACAAACAAAATAAAACAAACAAAACAAAACAAAAACCCTTAAGAGGAAGCTATTCAAAATCCCCACCAGTCAGGAATCAAATAAAAAATTCCTTAATTTCTTACCTTTTTTGTTTTGGGCAAGAAAGGCACGGTATTGAGGCAATGTTAGAAAGATGAAAATAGCATTTCCTGTTCTTCTGTTATAAAAGGACAAAGCTTTTAATTGAAAAACATTTAATTAAATCATTACGATAACCTGCAGATAAATATCTTGTCCTCCAGAAATTTATACCTAAAATAGACTAGTTGAGGCAAATATGAAAGTAAAATTATAAATTAACATGTATTAAGTATATGCAACTAAGACAAACTGTAAAATCATGTGATTTTTCCCACCCTTTTAAAAAATATTTATTATTGCCTTTGTATTTAATCCCTTAAGTATTGTGACCAATTTTTATTTATCATTGTTTTAGCAGAAATCTTGGCACAGAGTAATTTATCAACAAAGGATTATTTAATTGAAATAAATGTTTAGCTCACTATGCAAATTCTTGTCATCCTTCTAGTTACATCTTAATTCCTACCCACTTTTCTGAAATCTATGGTGAATGTAACTCTGAAATGTCTCTCTACTAAAATAACATTTTTTATCCTTTCTCAGCAGCTCAATTTAGGCAGAAAAGGAGGTAATTTATTTGACTGAAACAATGTGTCCTACCGTAAGCCCACCTAATTTTTCTTATTCTCTTCATTTCCTCCACCTCTAGCACAAACCAAGGACACAGATTTATTATAATTGAATTGTATTATATATAATGGTAGGAAATATTGTAAAAGTTATATAGTGCTTTTCTCTCATGCACTTCAAAGATTTATATACATTTAAGTCATTTTCATATAACTTATTTTTAGAACTTTTAATTTGAGGTGTCTACCATAAATTGGAAGTATTTTCAACTGCACTTCCTTTGATATGCCTACTAGATGACTATTGCTTAGTGATAGTTTCATATCTATTTCCAAAGATCTTTTATTGAACCAAACTAGGCCATTAATTATCTGAAGGGTTGAGGACATAAAAAAGTATGTATCCTTAAAGAACTCATAGTATAGTGAAGAGTCAGTTGTGTCTCACTCTTGATTTCAGCTCAGGTCAGATCACAGGGCCATGAGATCAAGCCCCAATTTGGGCTCCCTGCTCAGCATAGAGTCTGCTTATCCCTCTTCCCCACCTCAAATAAATAAATAAATACATAAATAATAAAATCTTTAAAAATTTTCAAAAAATTTTCAATATAAATATTAGAGAAGGAATTATATATATGTGTGTATATAAATACTATACAAAAATATAAATACACATATATATATGAAAAATTTCTTTCTCCCCTTCCTTGTCTGAGACATATGTCATCCCTCCAAATTTTCTCTTACCTCTTTTTGCATGAAAGTATATTCATTGTTCTCTTCTTCCTGATCAGTCCCTTTGCAGGTATTTATAAAGATTACTTTCCCCATTTTTACACTTTTCTTCCCATATTCTTCCATTTCACAGTCAGCCCACATCTCTTTGTAAATCCGCCCCCCTGTCTTTTTTTATATAAGTCTTAGCATTTACCCTGTGGCTTGAAAATAATGGGTCATTTATAAATCTTTGTTGATGTGATTCTTGGTTTTAGAATATATTCTTTATATTTATGTAGAATATATTCTTGGTTTTAGTATATATTCAGACTTAGTAAGACAAGATAAATTCTTCAATTTGAACAAACTGACCTGAGCATGAACACTTTTTCCCTCAAGTATACTATCACCTACGTGGGGCAGGACTCATGTCCTGTTTTCCTATTAAAAGTGCTGGCTGGCCCTACGCATCTCTCTATCTACACAGTATAACATCTCTAAACCTAAAGATCTTCTTGTGTGCCTTCACAGGAGTTTGCCATGCCTCAGAGCTACTCTGAGTTTTTCTACTCTTATTGGACAGGGCTATCTCGCAACAGCAGTGGCAAAGTCTGGCTGTGGACCGATGGAGCCCTTTACTCCCCTGAACTGTAAGACTTCAGAACATTTTGTGGGAAAAGAATTTAGTAGAGAACTTAGCTTGAGTGATCGAGTTCAGCAACTTGCTTCAATAAGCATTAATCAAACCTCCACTTTGTATTGGATACTATGTTTGTAGGAGGATGTACAGGGATGTATAACGATAAAGCATAGTGCTTGCTTTTGACTGACTTATAAACCAGTAAAGGAGACATACAAAATGTTAGTAAAATAGTAAGGACAGTTCTCTGTCTGGATGCTTTCAGAGTTTTCATTTCAGCCTCTGATATATCTTGGAACATTATTAAGTATTTGGGATTTGCTGAGTGGGGGAGACAGAGACAGAGACACACAGAGAGAGAGAAAAGAAGGAAGAGGAGGAAGAAGAGGAAGAGAGGAAGAGAGATTTTATGTATGAATAAGCTGAAACCCAGGTTAATATGGTAACTTGGTAAGACCACACAACTTCACAACTTATCAATACCCAGAGATAATATAACACCTCAGAATTCCTGGCTTTCTGTGCAGTGTAATAGGGAGCACATTTTTAAAAGTACAGTTTCTGAGGAGCACCTGGGTGGTCCAGTCAGTTAAGCATCTGACTCTTGGTTTTGGCTCAGGTTATGATCTAATGGTCCTGTACTCAGTGTGGAGTCTCCTTGTCCCTCTCCTTCTGCTCCCCCCCCTACTTATGCTCTCTCTCTCTCTCTCAAATAAATGAATAAATAAAATTTTTAAAAATACAGTCTTGAGAATAGATTTACTGAGGCTATAAGGAGCAAAATTATCCAAAAATTGGTTTTACTTATGTGAGTATTTAGATTAGATTGTGCATGATATCTTTTGAAATAGGTCAATATAATATCTGTTGTAAAATATATTACAATTTGAAGCCATGTTTGGACAGACATCTTTCTTCTCTCTATATATATCATATGCGATTTATTCTCCCAATAGATAAAACATATTCAATGTAATCATTCTTATTTTATAGTTAAGTAAACAGAGTCACCGAGAAAGTAGCTGATTTTTCAGATGATGGCAAAATATGACAAATTTGGATTATAGTATGCATCTTAGTTTTATACAAACAGTTTTTTGTTTTAGATGAACTGATGCTTCTAGGAACAATTATGGAAATTGAGGGGCTGAAAAGAAAGAGCTTGGTGACCCCATCTCTCCAGTAAATTCATTCCGTGTATCTAGTCTATAATTTTATCACATTAGGAGTACTCCCTATGTACTTTCAGGGTATTTAACATTTCATTTTAGAAGTAAACTATGATTCAGTGAAACTTTTTTTTTTTCTTTAAGGTTTGAGATTATAGTAGATTTTACCAGCCTAAGAAGCAGAGACTGTGTGACCATCCTCAATGGAAAGGCTTTCTCAAAAGACTGCAAAGAGTTGAGGCGGTGTGCGTGTGAAAGAAGGGCAGCCAGAGTGAAGCCCGAGAGCTTCCATTAGCTTCCCCGAGCCATGGACTCTCCACCATAATTGCAACATCATGGTCTCTTCAAGGAGACTGAAGATCAGAACAGAAGTCAGTCTTTTTATGTGCAGCTCTAAGAATCTGGTTTCAGTTCCTATTTTCTCCCATGTGGTCCATATTTATACAACAATTCAACAAAAAGGTTGAGTCAAGCAAAGTCAATGCAAAGGATATTTGAAACTTTGGAACATGGAAAAAAAAGATAGGAGAAGCAATTTTTCTGACTGGTGCAAGAGGGATTTTCATGATCCCCAGCACTTCTGAGCTTGGGTTCATGCATGTATTTAGTCACAAAGAAATCCCATGTACCAACAACCAGTCCCAGAATCTCGCAAAATTGTAATTCACCTTCTTGACTTAGAGATCACTTTCTAGTGTTCTTCCTTCTCAATATCTAGTATCATCTTCCTGTTTCCATGTCTTTCTTCATATTTGGAGAAGTGAGAAACTTATTGAAATAGGGGAAATAATGTGCATAACATTGTTTGTTCCAAATGTCAAGTAGTCTGTAAGAAATTAACAATCATTTTCTATACCATGCTTCTAAATACATAATTAATTCTTTCTGTTTGTTTCACACCATACTTTTCCCTTCCAGTCTCTCCATAAAGCCCCTATCTGCCATGTCTATGACCTGCTTCCTACTGGGATAATTCTCTTTATTAGAATCTTAACTTCTTCCAAACTTATCTCCCCATATCCATTGAAGAATCCAATATCTGGGGCACCCGGGTGGATCAGTCAGTTAGGCATCGATTCTTGATTTCAGTTTCAGGTAATGACCTGAGGGTTCTGGAATCAAACCCTGTATCAGGCTCTTTGCTGAGTGGAACTTGCTTAAGATTTTTTTTCTCTCCCTCTTCCTCTCTCTCTGCCCCTCCCCACTCATGACCTCTTGCGCAAAAAAAAAAAAAAATAAAAAAATAAAGGTACTCCAATGATTTTGTCCTTTCCCTAGGAAATTCTTCCAGGAAAGAAATATCCTCAGCTCAGTTCCAGATCCAAATTACTGTCCCTGATGTTTCCTTCAGCAAGATTGAAGACCAGAGCAAAAGTCGGTCTCTTTATGTGGGTCTATAATAGTTTGGTTTCAGCTCCTATTTTTTTTTTTCCATTTGATCCGTGTTTATGCCTTCCAGGTACTGGATATTTAATAATAATAAATGTAAATAATGTGGAATGTGTGTGATTGGAGAATAGATTTGTGATTTGGGGACAATTTCAGCATGGAGATGCTTTTCAAAAATGATAGCAATCTGTGTTTTGGTTGTTTGTGCCTTATGGAGAATTTGTAGGGATTCTACAACAGTACTGATTATTTGAGGAAGATAAATCTTTGAGAAAGACTTGCTGTCTTCAAGAAGATGATTATAACAGTTTCCTGAGATGAAATCCTTTGAGGCTAGTTTGCCATCAACACATAGCTAAAAATGAGTAAATAAAATCTCAGTAGGGTGAATTATCCAATAAGGTCATGAAAAGTGGAAGAGAGACTGTGACATCTGCACACATCATTGGTTTCTTGTGTTGTGCCCCCTTGCTCAGGATGCTAATATGCACAATCTTAACAGGGGTTACGGCAAATAACACCATCACATCCAGTGACTTTGTTGATTTACAGATAAATGAGTTTTAGGGGTTTAATGCTAGTGAGGATCATCTAGTATAAATCTTTATTTTTCAGCAATGAAAACTAGGGTGCTTCAGTTTTATTTTCAGTAAACACCTATCACATGGTGAAATGACATTAAATTAGCAAACATATGATAACATTTCTATATTCATTTTCGTAAGACTGTGTTACTTAGCAATCATTACTTGCGCATTTCTTCCTTATGAATTTTCCTTTTGATTTTCTGTTGATTATGAAATTTCTTCAGTGTTGAACAGATTTTGTGTTGATTCATTGTGTCATGCAGAAAGACTGTCTTTGTGGTCATAAAATTAGAGTTTTAAATCTCGTGTTTTGATCTATTATTGGGTGAATCACTTTATTTCACTAAGCTTATTTCATTAAGTATAAAGTGTAAATGTTTATAATTTTCTTATGGTGCTGTTGTTAGCTGAAATGTAGTAAATGTGAAATTAGTTTTATAATCCAAATTGCAATATAAAATGTCAAAGATATTAAAAATATGTAAAAAAAGGGATTTAGTAATTTTTTTTTAATAGGGGAACACAAACAAGCAAAAACAACCCTTTTTTTAGAGACCTGTATTCGTTAATAAATTGTAAAGAGGCACTTACATTGGAAGGCTGTGGATAGTACCAAATATTTTCTATGATCAGTACTGATATTTAATGGATGCAAGTTAATATAATAAGGATGTAACAGGAAGTATGGATGAGGACTTCAGCTAAGCAGTTAAATGTAATTTAAGTCTTGTTACAACAGGAAGAAAATGTGGTTAACCGGAGGAAAGTCAAATGACTTTGTGGACTAAGTTGTAAATAGGGACCTGACACACATTGTGTTGACCCCTGGCGTCCTATATAAGTGCAGTCTAGGGCAGGTTGGATGACAAGGGGAAAAAATAGAATTTGTTTGATGTTTTTGCTATCCTTGACTTTGTTTTTCTCCATCTTTGTCCTCAATCCCATCATCTGTATAACAAAACTCACAACGCTAATCACAGTATGAGCAAATACTCCAAAAACAGAAGACTCATATGGCACAACATTTTCTCCACAAACTTTTTTAAAATTTAGGAATAGGATATAATCAGGACATGATTTGCTGAGAACATTTTTCCATGGAGAGTCAGAGTGTAGCGCCCCATGAATTAATTTTTGGCTGGAGAAGTTTTCTCTTCCAGGCTCTTGTGTGTTTAGGTAATTACGAAGAAATTTCAGGAAAAGTCACATGAGGAACATAGCCTTTCCTGGTAAATCTGAGTTCCCTAGGGTATACAATGAGCTATTTCTTTTCCTGAGGATATTGAACTAGCTCTTGAAACTTATCAACAGGAAACAGGTCATGAATCCTGCAATAGCAGGAAGTGTGAGAAGTATAAGGGGAGATCTTACTTTGGGGACAGAAGCGATTTTGAAAAAGGTAGAAGAGTCTAGTAGATTGCCTCAGTTTTGGCCTTAATATTTGGAAAGTCAAATACTTTGTAAAGGGATTCTCTCATTTTTGAAGAATATGGAAAACATCATAATCTGATTTAAGGTGTATGTAACTGTTTTACAAGGTCCATAGGATGTACAGATTTTTAGGATCTAATAATATTATTATTCTATCAATATCGCTTTTCTAATGTTTTTCTTTTTAACACACTTAGTGCAGTTTAACCGTAGCGTATAAAAAAAGCTTCTTCACATTGGTAGTACAGAGTTTTCTGTTTCCTTTCCCCTTCCCCCCTCCTTTTTTTAAGATTTTATTTATTTGACAGAGAGATCACAGGTAGGCAGAGAGGCAGGCAGACAGAGAGGGAAGCAGCCTCCCTGCTGAGCAGAGAGCCCGATGCGGGGCTTGATCCCAGGACCCCGAAAACAGAGGCCTTAACCCACTGAGCCACCCAGGCCCCCCTTCTCCCCCCTTTTTGAAGCTAACTTGGATCTCAGTGAAATGGGTCAAAAATTTCCAATTTATTATTGGTGAGACCAAGAACTAAAACTTGTCATCCCAGTGCTAAGGCCTAATGTCTTACCAGTGTCTGGAAAAAGATCTTGATATTTTGCACCAAAAGCAACCTGCAGGGGAAAAAAAAAATCTACCACTCATTGCCACAGAGGAGATTTGTAGGAGTTTATGGCAGCTGCACTGTGGATAAGATTCTGACCTGCAGAGACTACGTCACATATTAATGGGATGACATCAGCCAAAGGATGTTTGCCTTTTGCTTCATTGTACTTTTTCTTAAAAGAGTTATTTAATGCTTCCTATCCTTTCTCTAAACATAGTTCCATGACAATACTCTGAAGAATCTTGAAGACAAACAGTCTTTACTACTAAAAATTGTTATTGTTTCTCCTTCATTCCAAGTTATTATATTCAGCTGCCAGCTGTCAGCTGTGAAAACCAAACACAGGACTCAAATTATACTGTGTTTTCCATGCTATTTTCTTTCTCTAGGTTCAGCAGAAAATTAGAAAAATTCATTTTATTGAAAGGTCCACTATTTAAACTCCAGGTCAAGGGTAAATTAAAACAAAAATAAAAACATGAAAACATGCCCTTCCCACCCTTAGAGGACCTAATCCTTCAAAGGTCACCTTTTAAAAATAGACTTCTAAGTTCATTTAAATGATTTCCACTATCTCCATGAGTTGGGTTTTATTTTACTTTATTTTAGTGGTGTTCTTTATCAAAAAGAAAGATGAGACTCCAATGTAGTTCAACTACTCCTTGTGAAGAATCGAAAGATTAAATAAAATTATGTTGAATTTAGCAGGCATTGAATGAGAATTTACCATGTAGTAAGTTATTCTAAGGATGTTAAGTGGTAGAAAAGTAATATAATAATAATTAGTGAATTTTTCTTCTTATGGATCATAAGATACTTTCATATCTCCTGTCTCTTGGGAAAAGCTAATCTATGTCCAAGGAGCCTCCAGACCTAAGAGACAGATTGTCTATGGCTTCATTTGAGGAGATTCATTAACTTTAAAACAGCTATTCTGTCTAGACAGTTGCTGACATTTTACATATAAGCTTTACCTTCTCAATATTCCTGTAACATGAGCAAGAAAAAGGGTCATTTTTATCTGGTCTACGTTTCTAGATGCCTAGAGATGACTGGTGAATTACTCCAGATAATAGAAGTGAGCACCGATATAGCATCAAACTCTAAGAAGGCACTATTAGCTATTAACATATATTCATACATTAATCTTCAAACAATATTTTGAAATAAATTCTATTATTATTTTACAATGAAGAAATTGAGACACAGAGAGATATAGTTGCAAGTGTTGCAGTGTCACTTCTCAAAAAAAGACATCCAGACGGCCAACAGACACATGAAAAGGTGTTCAACATCACTCATCACCAGGGAAATGCAAACCAAATCACAACGAGATATCACTTCACACCTGTCAGAATGGCTAAAATAAAAAAACTCAAGAAACAAGAAGCAAGAAACAACAAGCATTAATGAGAATGTGGAAAAAAAAGAATGCTTGCGTGTTGTTGGTGGGAATGTACACTGGCGCAGCCACCATGGAAAAGAGTATGGACATTCCTCAGAACCTTTAAAAATGGAAATATCCTGCAATCCAGTAATCACATTACCAGATATTTATTCCCAAAATACAATAACATTAATTCAAAGGGTTACATGCACCCCTATTTACTGCAGCATTATTTACTATAGCCAAGATATTGAGGCAGCCCAAGTGTCCATCAATGATAAATGGATGGAGAGGTGATACACACACATGTGCGCACACACACACACACTACACACTACACACTACACATTGGAATATTAGTCAGCCATAAAAAGAATGGAATCTTGCCATTTGCAATGACACAGTTGGGACTAAAGAATATAATGCTGAGTGAAACAAGTCAGAGAAAGACAAATACCATATGATCTAGCTCATATGTGGAACTTCATGAGCAAATGAGCAAAGGAAAAAACAAAAGGAGAAACAAACCGAGAAACACACTTAACTACAGAGAACAAACTGATGGTTACCAGAGGGGAGGTGGGTAGGGGGAATGGGTGAAATGGGTGATGGAAATTAAGGAGGGTACTTGTGATGAGCACTGGGGGATGTATGGAATTGTTGAATCATTATATTGTACACCTGAAACTAATATCACACTGTGTTTTAATTATGCTGGAATTAAAATTAAAAACTAAGAAAAAAAGTGCTAGAGTGTTAACCTTCAGAGTCCCAACCTTGAGAGTCCCAACCTGAGCCCTTTGATTTGTGAGTGGTGAGGATGGTTAGTGAGAGGGAGGAAGAGAGTTCACAGTTGTCTTTTACTGGAGATGCATGGGTATTGGCAGCCTGACTATTCCTTCCACTTATATGAAGAGCTGGTGGTTCACGTGTCCCGTGGAATTCTGCAGTCCTAAAAAGGTATTGTCTTACTAGCAGCAGATAGCTTCCTGTCTTCCTTCTAATTTGAAAATCCATATCTCTGTCCAACCATCCTACCAGATCGATAACAGAAAATGTATAGAAAATCTGGCAGGTAGAGACTTTAAAAGATCACATTTATTTATTTATTTTAAAATAAAAGAACAATATCCAAAAAAAAAAAAAATAAGAAAGAAAGAAAATAAAGAAAAGAAAAAAGAAGAACCAGTCAGCTAGAAATACATTTCTGCCCCCCAGTAGCTTATAGGTTTTTGTGTGGAGTTTATAGTCATTCTAGACTAGGGAAAAAGAAAGAAAGAAAGAAAGCAAGCACAAAGAAATTATTTTTCTTCAGTTTGTTCTCAACCTTTCAAGATTTCGTCCTCTGAAGCTATAAATTGGTTTCATTCTTGGCAATTTAAACAATGTCAATTGAAGTTCTGGAAAGTATTGAAGAAAATTGCCAAGTGTAAGTATAAAGATAGGTTTTGAGTCCCAGGTAGGTGGTATCATAGCCCACACATAGGTTCACTTCTGCATCTGCTTTATGGAATTTTGTGGCAGGTTTTCCAATGTCCTGTTCAACATAACTATCATAATAGATTTCTCCTGGTACAATTTCTTTCAGATAGAGGATCTTAACGCATACTTCTCACAGATAAAATATTTCCAATTGCTGCAGTTAGTGGAAGAAAGGAACTTGTCCTTGAGATATCCACAGAGCTGGTCAGTTGATTGGAGTGTCTGTACTGGTGATCTGGAGAAGCAAGTCAGTGAATCTGACATTAGGTAGGGGGCTTACAGTGCTGTTCTTGTGCGTAATGATGAGAGGTGGGTAGCTTTTTGTTTCATTTTAATATGGTACCCTCCTATGGCACCCTCCTTCTTCAGTAATAGAGATGTTTTTGCTCAATAAAAATGTTAACATAACATAAAAAAACCATCATATTAAAAGAAATAGATCCACAAAAATAGGCTCTAACTTGGGATATCTCTACTGACTTAATTCTCAAAATATGAAAACACCTAATTCTGTTCACTAATCTCCCTAGCTCTATCTAAGATGCTTAATAGGGAAAAATAAATAAATAAAAGTAAAAAGCTTAATAAGGAAATGTCTTAATACTTACGACAATTTCTTTCCCTGAGCACTCACTAGCCATTAAATAATACACAGGAAACATCTGTGATAATTATACTGTTCATTCAGATTCTCAAGTTTTGATGTGAATGTGCTGGAGTTTAATGGCAGCATGGCCAAGGAGTAGGAAGACTTGGAAGCCTCAGTTTTCAGGCAGTTACACAGGCAATCAAAAGCCTGTGTAATTATCATGCTGACTATGTCTTCTGGAGAAAATCTGAGGTATAAAATAAAATAAAATTTGGAATTCCCCCATGTTTCTTCTTTTTCTTGTAATATTTCTCTCAGACACTTACAGGGAAGGTGAAGGAGGGGAGCCATTTTTCCAAAGCCAAGGTCTGCTGAGTCCATCATGAGACAGCTCCACCCAGTAATCATAGCCTTTTTTGACATTACTCAGGCTGTCAGTGATAAAGTCCTAGAAGAAACAGACCTAACAGTGAACTAAAGGGAAAACAACAGCAAACTATCATGAAATATAAAGTGTGGCATTTTGCCTAGACAGACAGAAATGGGAACTGTAGAGGTGGAGACCAAGATAAAGGGTTTTAAAAGAAGTGATACCTTTTATAGACTTTTTTTAATTGCCATCTAATAGGTGTGGTGTTAAGGACTAAACAGAAAATAGGCATCTGGTATTAAAATAATCTTAACAGACTCAGAGTTTGGCAGATAATATATGTCAAAACAAGGTGTTATACGAAACTCATTATCAGGAAAAGTGAAAACATCCTTGACATCATAGACCACATAGATCATTCTTTCCCAGTATACTTCAATATGAGAAATAGTTTAGGATATTCCAGAGGCAAATTACCTATAGGCGTATTTTGTTAGAAAAAACATTATTGCCTTTTGTTACCAAATTTGCACAGAAAAAATAGTATAAACCTATAATTGTTGTAAGTCCAAGTTGCCTTGGTTTACTGCATATCCTTAACATACCCTTAAAGAGTTTTATTTATTTATTTGACAGACAGAGATCACAAGTAGGCAGAGAGGCAGGCAGAGAGGGGGAAGCAGGCTCCCTGCTGAGAAGAGAGCCCAATGCCAGGCTTGATCCCAGGACCCTGAGATCATGACCTGAGCCAAAGGCAGAGGCTTAACCCACTAAGCCACCCAGGCGCACTCTTAATTGAATTGTTCTGTCATTATTTTTTGAGAGATGAACTTTAATTATTGAGTATAGCAAGCATATATTTTTAATAGGCCCAGAAATGTGTAACTGTATATTCTATTTCACACACATTTAGGGGTAAAATGATTTCAGGAAAACTCTTTTTGCTTGTTAAGATGTTAGTAAAGTAGACTTAATGTTAATTAAACATTTCGTTTACCAAGTGCTTATTCTTATAGAACTAACCATTTCGTAACATCACTTCCCTTTCTATACTTCTGCTTTTCTTTTAATAACAAAATTTAATGGTTGTTACCCTTCCCTACAGCACTGAAAATAACAAATTTGAAACATATACAAAATTATTATTGTATATGTATATTAAATGTATATTAAAATTATTATATATATATGTATATATATACATATATATATAATAATTTATATATATATATATATATATATCTTAGAGTGGATTAACAAGCAACAAAATGATATTCTTCTTACCCCCTCTCCTTTTTCATTAAAAAGGGACATACAACTAATATATTTCCCTTAATCTGGATAACTTCCTGTATGTTTGTTTGTCCAATTAAAAGCAAAACAAACCTCAGTAATTCCTACTTTGTCTCTTTTAAACCCTTATTATATATATTAAATATAGTTTTGTTACAGAATATTAAGAAATCCTGTCTAATTAGAATCAGCCCTTTCTTTTAATGTGTATCAGGGTATTTTCAGAATGATATGAAACCATAAGAGGGTGCTTACCATTTCTTCTTTGCTGTCTATTTGCAGAAGATTAGAACCCTCCTTCAAACAGTCCTCTTTACTGGTGTGCCAAAATTTCCAGTTTTCAAAGACACGGTAACAACTTCCTCCATTCTGAATCCAGTTGTTTGGACAAGGGTTGCAGTTATGGGCTTTGAATAGAAACATTTTACCTTATTAAAGTTATTATAAAAATATTAGTAGCGCATCTCCTCAAAGGAAACCTTTGTCTCACCCCCAAGTGAAACTGAACATTGTGACCAAATGGGTCAGATAAGTTGGTCTTACCATGGAAAGATTTATATATTTCCAACTGCAATAGGCCTGTAAGAATTAGTTTAAGATAAAATTAATTTCAGAATATCTTATCCCAAATGGCTCCTCTTCTAAACAATTGAGCTGATTATTCTATTTTTATAAATCTTTCCCCTCTTTAAGCTTATGTTATGTACAGTCTTCATTATTTGCTTATTGTTTCATGTCTGTTACTCTTACTGGCCCAATTTAGTTGGAATATATACTGGACCACTAGGCAAGCTGATAATAAGTTTCAAGTTGATGTGTAAATTCTGAGAGTTAAACATGAAAATGTTTCCTATAGAAAGGACAGGACAAACAGTGTACTTTGAGGACTGATTTGAAAATATGTGGGTGAGGAAAATTGAAGAAAATCATAAGTGACCAATAAGCTTTTTCAGGACTTGGATGTAACTTAGAAGTAAGCCATATTGTTTAATCAGTTTTATGAAAGCTGTCTTAAGAAAGAATATATTCACAAAAGAATTGTGCTCAAGACTATAAAAGGGGCACCAAAAAGCAAGAACTTGACCAAGTGTTTCTTGCACAGAGGGAAAGACACTGAAATTTCCAGAACTCTAGTTTCGACAGAAAGGCCTTCTACTTAATGTCACAAATAGTTTGTTATCAGTGTCCAGGGTCCAAAAGTTGAGTTATTTAAAGCTTCTCAATATCTTTTGTTTGGAATCTATGCTAATCAGTGTCTTGACTAGTGTTACAGCAAGACTGGTGTTGACAAAAGCAGCTGAAATGTTGGAAGACATATTAGGTTTGTAGTTCTCCAAAATGGTTATTACCATTGTCTTAAGGTTAATGGCTCAGAGGAAGGGCTAATTCATGCTTGCCTAAGCCTGTTATATTTAAAAACACTGTTGGGCACCCAGTGATTCTGTAAACATTTATTTGACTAAATTTCAGCCGGGAGGTGGTTTTTTGAGCTCTCTTATTGGTGATAATTTAAATGATATCCACTATAGGGTTAATTAATGTCAATTAAGTAACCACAGAATACATGACAAACTATACCACACATAGAAATAAGGCTGTTTTAGGTTTAAGATTCTAGTAAGAGATATAAAATATAAAAACTGAAGTAACTTTATAGAATTTTTAAAAAACAGTTGAACCCTGCATTGTTATAATGTTACGGTAAATACTCTGATTTTTAAAAAACGATTCTTCTTCTCAAAGAGATATCTAAATTTGAATCTAAAGCAGTGTTTAAACTAAGCATATTGAAGAATTTAGAACTACAATTAAAAATATACTTAAAACTTTGAGTGATTGCATAAAACATAAAATGCTGCTTAAAAAAAAAATCCGGGGGTGCCTGGGTGGCTCAGTCTTTAAGCATTTGCCTTTGGCTCTGGTCATGATCCCCAGGGTCCTAGAATCAAGCCACCTGCTTGTGTTCCCTCTCTCATTCCCTCTTTCACTGTCTCTATTAACTAAATAAATAAAATCTTAAAAAAAAAAAAAAACCCAATCTGCTAATCCTACACATTTCCCTTTGAAATTTGTATGATTCTAAATCTGCATTTCTTGAGACCTCAGTATTTTCCACATACTAATGAAATATATAAATATATATTTTTAAAAATTGAACTGGAGTGTGGATCAAAATTACGTCCCTCCTAATTTTAAAATTCTGTCTGCAATTTTGCAGACAATAAAATGTGTGCCACTGTTTCTTTTGAGGAATTGGTGCCTGCGTTTGTATCTGCACAGCGAAATCTGATTTGATTTGATTTGATTTATTTTTTTCTTCAAAAGCTGATTTTATATCAATTACCTGAACTGAAAGACTTTTGCCTCAAGGTTTGGCAACATTTCATCTGAAGGTTATGGTTTCTCTTCCATTGTGTGAAGTTCAACAGTTCTCTATCCTGATGGATGAGTTTTTCTTGCTGCTTCATTGCAATAGTGGACACCTGGAACACTTCAAACGATAAATGACAATAATTCTCAATTAAAAATACTGACAAATTAGAACAAAGTAATTCTTCTATACAGACTAAGGACAATTACAAATTATTTTTGTGACTTCAATTTGCATTAAGGTTTTGTTTAAAATTTACACTGTTCAAGCATCAAAACTTTGGGGTGTCTAGGTGGCTCCGTCAGTTAAGCCTCTACCTTCAGCTCAAGTTTTGATCCTGGGGACCTGGGATCTAGCCGCTGCCAGGGGGCCTGCTTCTCCTTTTCCTTCTGTCCCTCTTCCCTGCTTGTGCTCTCTCTCAAATAAGTAAAATCTTAATTATTTTTAATTTAAAAAAAGAATAAAAAACTTCAAAGGATACAGAGCAAAAAACCCCTTTGCCTTCCAGATGCACCCAACTCCTCTCCCCCAGCACAATTTACCCATTTCTTTTTAATTCTTCCACACATATTCTGAATTTTACAAGTGAATGAATATAAAATGCCCCCTCTTTATACAAACAGTAATGATCTAATGTATACGGTTTTTCACATTTTCATATTTCATATTTTACCACTTAAAATATATTTTGGACATAATTCCATCTCACTGTATAAAGAGCTTTCTCAATCTTTCATTCTAACTTTAGCAGATTCAATTGACTTATGTTAGTCATTCCCTACTGACTCTTTTTTTTTAAGATTTTATTTATTTGACAGAGATCACAAGTAGGCAGAGAGTCAGGCAGAGAGAGCGGGGGAAGCAGGATCCCTGCTGAGCAGAGAGCCCGACGTGGGGCTCCATCCCAGGAACCTGAGACCATGACCCGAGCCAAAGGCAGAGACTTAACCCACTGAGCCACCCAGGTGCTCCCCTACTGACTACTTATAATCCTTTGGTGTTCCAAAAATAAATACTATAATAAAGAAAATTAGTCACACATAATTTCACACATATGTAAGTATATTTTTAAGAAAAGTTGCTAGGTCAAAGTTTATTTGCATTTAAATTGTATTAGATATTTCCAAATTACCCTCCACGTAAGTTGTTGCAAATGGTATTTCAATATTATTTGAATTTGCATTTCCCTTTTTATGCTTGGTGTTGAAACTTTTTCTCATACATAGAAATGTTAGTTGCATTTCCTTTTCTATGAACTGTATAATTATATGTAATTACATAATTTTTTTCATTGTGTTTCTAGTCTTTTTGTTATTGTTTTATACAATAAAGATATTGTGCTATGAGAATTCATTGGAGCAGGACTGGGATCAGCCTGCATAGTGTTTCTAAGCTCCTGCCTGTTAGTTTTCTAAAGTTCCTGCCTGGCACTAACCTCTGGACAAGGTGTGAGGTATACTGATGAAGAGTGTAGCTTTATAAGCATCAGTCTGAGGACTTTTTGGTCAGATGATACTAGCTTGTCAGCATTGTTTGCTGATGCCGCGTGACTGATTATTCGCCTCTCTTACAATGAGATCTTGAGCAGGCTCTGCTATCGAAGCTGGATACCTGGAAGAAATATGCCTGTGTGAGGACACCTGGGTGGGTCAGTAGGTTAAGCATCTGCCTTGGGCTCAGGTCACAATCCCAGCATCCTGGAATCAAGTCCCACATTGGGCTCCTTGCTCAGCAGGGAGCCTGACTCTTCCTCTGCCTGCCTGCCATTCCCCTCTGCTTATGCTCTCTCTCTTTCTCTCTCTGATAAATAAACACGTAAATAAAATCTTAAAAAAAAAAAAAAGAAGAAGAAGAAAGAAAGAAATATGCCGATGTGGTCAGCATAATATAAAAACTACCAAGCAAGACTCCATGTTGGGCTCTCTGCTACCAGAGTGTTTAGTGCACATACACATCAGTGGTTCCTGACTCGAGAGAAATTGTGTCCTGAAAAAATAGTCACAGAGGGAGGACAAAGTACTTATCTGTACCTGGACTCTCCAGACTATACCCTTACTTTAATGCGGTTCTTAAACAGCATCTTTTTCTTGTAATAAACTATAAATTTGTAAGCATTGTCATTTCAGGTTCTGGGAATCTTCTTTAGCAACCAATCTTGTTTAGTTTAACTGATGTGTTAGTGCACTTACATTTAATGGGTAAGAATAGCTAATGCATGATATGAGCCATGAGTTTCCCAGTGTGTCTTTTGACTTTGTTTGTGGTAGTTTATCCCACATACATCAGATGATTTTTGGGTCATTTTGAGCAAAAGTCTTACACCTGAGATTATACTTTTTACAAGTATATTTCACTTTCATATTTTGATGTAGCTGGAATTTATTTTGTTGGAATTTATGAGGTATGACTTCCAAGTTTTTCCCCCAGATGGCGACATTGTGGTCTCAAATCGTATACTGAATAACCCCTTTCTCATTCTCTTTTAATTGCCATCTTTAGCTTACTCTAATTTCCAATAAACTAGTTTGATATATTTCTATTGTTTTCATGATATTCAATCCACCTGCTTATCTATTCCTAGGTCAGTACCACATAGTCTTCATTATTTTAGACTTATAATTTATTTCAATATTTGGTAAAACCAGGCCTCCCATTTTCATATTATTTTTATAGTTTTTAGAGTTCTTTCCTTATAAGTCTAACAAGGTTTTTAAGTCAGTTCTTTTTTTTTAATATTTTTTAAAAATTAATTTATTTGACAGAGAGAGAGAGTACAGGGAGGGGGAGAGGGAGAAACAGGCTCCACACTGAGCAGGGAGCCCAATGCAGGGCTCCATCCCAGGACCCCAGAGTCATTACCTGAGTGGAAGGCAGATACTTAACCAACTGAATCATCCAAATGCCCCAAGTCAGTTTTTTTTATTTATTTATTTACTTTTAAAGATTTTATTTATTTGACAAACAGAGATCACAAGTAGGCAGACAGGCAGGCAAAGAAAGAGGATGGGAAGCAGGCTCTCCGCCGAGCAGACAGCCCGATTGTGGGGCTCAATGCGGGGCTCGATCCCAGGATCCTGGGATCATGATTTGAGCCAAAGGCAGAGGCTTTAACCCACTGAGCCACTCAGGCACCCCCAAGTCAGTTCTTCTTAAAAATCATTTTATACAGTATTTATTCTTATTCTATTAAATATTTTTCTTAATATGGATATTGATTTTCTTTGAACCTATAACTTAATGTTTTCAATCAATTTTGGAAAATATTCATCCAGTCAATCTTTTTTTTCATATAAATATCTTGCTTTTCTTTCTTTTTAATTTAATTATTTTTATTAACATATAATGTATTATTTGCCCCAGACGTATAGGTCTGTGAATCATCAGGCCTACACATTTCATAGCACTTACCATAGCACATACCCTTCCCAATGTCCTTAACCCAACTCATCCAGCAAGCCTTAAAATAATACTACTTTTTTCTAACTCTATCTTCTACTTTGAAGTCTACTATTAGACTTATACTAATATTTTCAATATGCTCTAGGACGCTTTCCCTCTTTTCTATATTTTGCTCAGGAGCTATGGACAATGGATGGTTATGTCTTATCCATTTGTGAATGGTTCAAGTAATCCCAGCTGCTAGTGGCTTGGGTTATGTTCCTTCTTAGCAAAAGGTTGGATGTAACCAGAGTGGGGAGTAAGAGATCGATATTATTTATTTTATTCTATTTATAATCTGGCATGTTTGGAGATTTCCTTTTAGGAATTTCAAGTATTATTCTAAAATATTGAATTTTGATGAACTTTTTCTAGATCAACTATATTCTTGAGGTTGTTGTTGTTTTGTTTATTACTATCTGAAAAGGTTGTACTACATAAAACTGTAATAAAACTGGAGAAAGGGAAATGATACTTCTCTTTAGTTTCCCCTTATATGGGAAGCAATGCACCTTTACTGGTGTTGGGCTTGTAATAAATTTGTAACAAGTTAGGAATATAGATTAAACAATACATTTACTTAGGGGATTGTAAGACAAATGTTTTTAAAGCCCCCCAAATAAAATCACTTATTATATGATGTTATATGATACATCTAATTGTTGGATTAAGAAAATGAAAAAGAGGGGCGCCTGGGTGGCTCAGTGGGTTAAAGCCTCTGCCTTCGGCTCAGGTCATGATCTCAGAGTCCTGGATCCAGCCACACATCAGGCTCTCTGCTCAGCAAGGGGCCTGCTTCCCCCTCTCCCTCTGCCTGCCTCTCTGCCTCCTTTGATCTCTCTGTCATATAAACAAATAAATCTTAAAAAAAAAGAAAGAAAACAAAAAAGACTGGTAAAAACAATTGGAAAAATCTGATTTTATAGAAATTATTTTTCACTATAGATTTTTTTAAATAGAATGTAATTAGTATAGGTCATATGGTAGGAAGAAAAAACAAAATAGTAGAAAGAAAGCAAGAAATTACTTCTTACATTTAAAACTACCATTCAAATAACAGTTGTTAACTTTAGTTTATATCTATTGAAACTTTTTTTCCATATTTGTATGTAAAAAAATCTATTTTACATACAATTTTTATAAAACTATATTTTTCCATAATTGACTTTTTAATCTGCTTATTTCATGGTAAAATATTGCATAACCATATCTCTATGTTAGTAACAATAGTTCTAGAAGACTTCTTTAAATTACTGCAGTGTATTCTTTTATATCAATGTAGCATCATTGATTTTTATCAGTTATTTTATTGTCAGATATCTATGGATGCACTTTTAATAGTATATAAGACTAATTTTGTAAATTAACCCATTCATTACTTTGATATCATGGTACTTTAAACAGGATATAGATTTCATTCTTTACTCTTTGCCAGAAACATGTCCTTTTTTTACTATGTATATTAGATTATATACATCATATGTGGTTACATATATATAATTTAAATATTAGTATTTACCTTTCTCTTACATTGAAAATTTTTGCGGAGAAAACATTTAACATTCCATTTTGTTGAAATGGAATGATGATCAAGATGATACAATTATTAAAAATTAAAACATGATATTTATAACTCAAAATCTACTGTCTGTAACATAATCTATTACTAGCAAGGATAAGCAGTTGGTTAGGAAATTTGAAGTGAACCAGCTGCTTTTTGTTTAACACAACTCTTGTTTCTGTAACTAACTTTATATAATAAAAGCCCTAAGAATGTTTTTGAGAATGTGTGAGATGACTCTGGCAAATGACTGGCTTGGTAGCAATAGTATAGTCACTATACTTGAACAAAAGCCAATGGTAAAAATATTTTACATTTATGTAATAATATTTAAATGTTTTAGAAGTATTTATAACTATTAACACAAAACAAAAGAAAGCCAAAACTTTTACTAGTAGACAATTTCCAGAAATTACTAACAATTTTAAATACTTTACTTTCTGGCTAGCTTTCCTTTATCCTTATCAAAATATTTTCTTCACCCAATTTTTGTTTTGGGAGTTAAAAAATTGTTTAATAAGTACTACATCCATGGAATGGCAACATCAAAAAAACAAAACAAAACAAAACAAAACCCAACAAAAAGTAAGCACTGACATTATCACCATCTATCCCCTTCTCCTGACCCCTTTTTTTAGTGACTTCTTTGTAATGTATAATTGTGTATAAAGTATATGAAATACATGTATATAGATTATTTTGAAGATATGCTTTTGTACTTACACTTGATCCCCAAGAAAACAGAGGTTGTTACTGAGCCCACGCAGAGAATACATGAGATCACCACCACCAGACACCATGCTCCTGAACAAGGCATAAGGGCAATGACACTGAGTTAAAGAAGAGGAAAGAGATGGGCCCGTGTGAAACTAGGCTCAGTGAAACAATGAGCATTCTTACTAGAGAATCCTTGACGCCAGGGGAACTGTGGTAACAGGAGAAAAGAATTCCAACTTTTTGAATGCAAGTTATAACTTGGAATATCTTTTTTTTTTTTTAAGATTTTATTTATTTATTTGGGAGAGTTCAAGTGTACAAGCAGGGGGAGGGAAAGGCACAGAGGGGGAAGCAGACTCTCTGCTGAGCAGAGAGCCCTACTGACTGTGGGGCTTGATCATGGGATCATGACCTGAGGTGAAGGCAGATGCTTAACTGACTGAACCACCCAAGGACCCCAGAACAGCCTGGATGTTGAAAGATGTCAAATCCAATAGGTTAAGTAATTTACTCCTCTCATCCTTTCATGAGGTCTTAACCTTACCAACTAGTTACATATTCCAATGATCTTTTAGAGACTATAGCAAACCAGAATTCAGGCTTTCGTTTTTGAAAGCAGAAACACTGTGGTTGGTGCATCTCCTCATCTCTTTTCTGCACCCCTTGAACACGATTGATCCAGAGCTATTTCTTTTAAGCATACAATTTTGAATGAGGAATACCTCCCCCACCCCAGGTAATTTTGCATCTCTTCAGGAAAGAAAAATAAAAAATGTGTGACTTGTTATATTGTTAACACTAATCAGAGAAAAAATCAGATAAAAGTTATCTTTGGATTATGTGGTAGGCTGAATGATGCTCCTGTCCCAGATGCCCACGTCCTACTCCCTGGAACCTGTAAATATTACCTCATATGACAAAAGAGACTTTAAATTGTAATTAAGTTAAGGATCTTGGGATGGCGACATTATCCTGTTTTATCTGAGCCTTTATAAGTGAGAGGTCAGTGGTCAGGGTGCTATCTGATGAAGGAAGCAGAGAGAAACTTGAAGGCATAGTGTTGTTGGCTTTGAAGATGGAGAAAGGGTCCATGAGCCAAGTGAAGCAAGAAATGCAGCTCTAGAACAAATGGATTCTCCCCTGGCTAGATCCTCTTGAAGGAAGGCAGCCCTGACAACACCTTGCCCAGTGAGACCTATTTTGGACTTCTGATCTTTAGAACTGTAAGATAATAAATTTATAGTGTATTAATCCCCTTGGTCTGTGATAATGTATTATCAAAATAACAAGAAGCTAATAGAAAGCTTAAAGAAGAACAACAGAACTGATCACCATAGCACACAGCTCCAGGTTGCTAAGTTTTGTCAGATTTTCAACCTGTGTTTTCTCTTTATTTCCTAGTTTTTGTCAGATAATTTTCAGGGCATTTTATGCAGGACCTAAAATAATAAAAAATAAAAATATATAGGATTTCTTTCATTTATCTTCCAAATCCCGGAATTCTTTGTCTTTCCAGCAGGAGAGAGGGAAAAAGGTACTATGTATTTGTCAAATCCATTGTTCTTTTCCTTTTGCACCTTTACTTACTCTTCCACATTACCTCACTTTTTAATGCTATTATATAATGCACATTATCAGAAGCACATGTGGGTTATCTTAGAAAAATCACCTTGGGCTCATCACAGGACAGGAAACAAAGCAGAAACTTCAAAGTCTTGGACTAAATAATCAGATGGTTACCTGAATATTTGACAGAAGACAGATGTTTCTGGTAAGGGCTTGGTGTTGGGGGATCCCACTGAAGAGAGGCGTATGTGTCTTCCTCCTGCATGTCTGAAATGCTGTGATAGGTAAGGCAGGCCACATGAGAAGCTAAGACAAACAACTCTTCTTGTGGTAGAAGCAGGCTCGTGAAAGAACTGAAATTGGCTACTTCTCACATCAGTGGGAAACTATGTTTGGGTTTAAGGGATACAATAGGTGCATCTTCATCTAGAAAGTAGAAGTTTATGAAGTTTAGGCCAAAGTACAACTTGTTAAAGAAGGAAATGAGAAAAGAAACTGAACTTGAAATGGCCTCTGGTAGAATAGACTATTGCTCTGGGTTCTACATCCACGAACATAATGCCGGTGTTTGGATGTAAAAGGCTGGGCCTGATAAATGTAATTTTTCCCTGGCTAGCAAACTTTTGATGACAACTGTACTCTAAATGAGAAGCATGAATTATTTAGTGGATAGATGGCCACTTCTGCCGCATCCTGTGACTACAGCATTAAGAAACTTGATATTTTAATTATCATTCACGTATTGGCCATTTGTCTTGATGGCCAAAGGTCATGTATTGGTAATTTATAGTTCGTAAATCTCAACAATCTGCAAAATTACAATGTTCTCTTTTGTTTCAGTATCTTGCTAGATCAATCATTGATGTCTATAACAAAGGAAAACAAATGACATACTCAAGGAGTAATCTCAGGGCATTGAATCAAGACACTGTAAAGTTTAGAGAAAGACTAATGGGAACAGAAAGAGGAGGTGACTTATGCATTATTCATAAGGATGTTATCACCCCTAGGCCCAAGGAGTTAAGGGGAGGGTATTTGATAGGGGCCATGACCTCAAATACAGAACATGCAGTCTTTGCCAAACATGGCATGGTAAGGAGAGAGTCAAGAAAATGAGTAGTACCCTGACCACTCTCTGCTTTCACCCTTTGATTATTGCAAGTACTTCTCAATAGGTAAATTTACTGGAAGCCAGAGGAAAGTTGCTCCAGATAGTGCTGTTCATTTGAGTTCTGCCTCCCAAGGCACAGAGTGGGGCTGAGAGGCTCTTAAGATGTAAATGGAGAATATCCAGCAAAGTCTCCAAATATTTCAAATGGCCTGAGATTTTGACCTGAAAATAATGTGATGTAACTTTCTGTAGCCTTCTTCATATAATGATTTCTACCTTGAGGACAAAAGGAGGAAGGAACATATCAAATATGCATTAAGACTAATGTCGGAGCACAGGAACAGAAGTTTAATGAGTTGTCAATAATTTCCAGGGGCTCTCAAATTTTATCAGCGCTAAATAGCAAGCTCAGAAAGATCTAGTTTTCTCTGCTTTAGTATATTCTCTGATAATTTTCTTTGGGGGAAACATTGGGCTCTCCCAATAAAGGACTAATGTTACTTTTATTGCTTTTGATGTTTTAGATCATACCACCTGTTACTTATTATTCATTAAATTCCAAGTGCTGTTTCAAAAGGCTTTTACATGAATTAGTTTGATTCTCAAATCAGCTCTGTGAAGTAAGTACTATTATGAGTACATTGTAACTTAATTGTACATTGAAGAACAGAGAAGTCAAATTATTTACTGAAGTTCACTTGGGTAGTAAGTGGAAGAGTTAGTATTTGAAAGTAGGTGGTCTGATCACAGAGCCTGTACTATTAAAATCTGTGCTATTCCGATTTCATGTGTAAGATGACTTTGATATGAGTACCAAAAAAAGAATCTTTGTAGGCATAGTTGGTTCGTTGGTTAACATATTTTAATTGGATTTTTGCCACAAGCTAAGACATTATTCTTTGAAATTTACTTGTGCCATATAGTAATATATAAACATATGTTTTTCCATTTGTAGGTAATAAAACATGAAAGTCCAGAGACATGGTTGGTTGTTTTTTGGATGAATTTCTGAGTTATTAATTCCTATTCCATTTCTCTAAATCAGCAAGTAAAAAACAGTAAAATAATGACACTATCCCCGAAAACCCAAGATCTCAAGACATTTGAAGTAGAAGCAGATTCTGAGGTGCCTGTGTTATTTTTCCTCAGTCCCCCAAAATCTGCTTGTTTACTGATAGTCTAAAATAAGATAAAGATTCAAGTGTCTTTGAGTATTAGTACTCAAACATATAAAATAATGCATATTTATTGAATGTTTATTACATGCTTGATACTCTGCTCAGTGCTTTATATACTATATTAAATGATCCTTGCTATAACCTAAGAGTAAAATAGTAATGTTAAGCCCATTTCATAAATGAGGAAACAGAGTAACTTAGCAAAAGCCACATAAGGAGTAAGTGTCAATGTAATTTTTTTTCAAAATGTATTTAAAAACTACTTGTATCAGAATCAAGTAGGAGAGCTTATTAAAAGCACAGTTCTCAGTGTCTCCTTAGCCTTCCAACTGAGAACCTTAAGTATCTGTGTTTGAACATCCACATGTTTTATTTTGTTTTTGTTTTTTTAAGATTTTATTTATTTATTTCACAGACCAAGATCGCAAGTCAGACAGAGATGCAGACAGAGAGACAGAGGGGGAAGCCGGCTTCCCGCCAAGCAGAGAGCCTGATGTGGGGCTCGATCCCAGGACTCTGGGATCGTGGCCTGAGCTGAAGGCAGAGACTTTAACCCACTGAGCTACCCAGGCACCTGAACATCCACATGTTTTAACAAACATCTCAGATGATGTTTGAGACGCATATTCATGAATTTTATTACTACTGATGTAAGAAGAAAGAGCCTCAGGGAAGCTATGGGAAAGAATGGCAATGTTTGCCTATTATCCTGTGAAAGTGTGCCTCCCCACATATCTATAAATACTTCATGAGTTACTCAGCAAAAACCAAGCATAGAACTGTCAGGAAAAGATAAAGCATTTGTACTTGCTGTTTTGTCTACTTGCCTAAAGTCCTTGTTAAGAAGTCACACACTATCAATTTCCTTGCACAGAACTTTTATTTTCCTTGCACAGAATGAAACTTTAATTTCCTTGCTGTTGAATCTGACCAAAGGTGCACCTGGAATCCAAATTATAATTGTTAGTGTTTTACAGATTGTGTGCTTCTCACATAATGAGAAACAACTATTTTCCTGTTTCCAGTGAGCCAGAATCATGCTTGGTGCTTCACATACAACGACAAATAGGAAAGTCACGGTGTTGGCCTTTATGGAATTTCTGACATAGCTAGTGTTTTATTAGGTTGTACAACTGTGAAGTCATCGGTGTTATACTATTTGAAATATGAGAAAATGCATAGTAAAGAGGCTACATGACTAGTTGGCCCATGGTTGTACTTTAAGTAATCACACCATCTAGATTGTTCTACTGATTCCAAGTTTAGTATTCTTTCCACTGCTTTATGCTGTCTTTTGCACAACTTAAGTCAGTTAAGTCCTAGCCTTTCCTATTTCAATTTAAAATGTATATGTTTATGTCTAAAGATGTGATGAATCATACCATGTTAAGATAATTAGGAATGGAAATCAAGAAGAAAGTCCATGGAAACAGAAGAATTGAGAACAAATGATCAACTCACAGACAGAATTCTGGATATATAAAGAAGGGATGAAATCATCCCTTAGTAAAAGGGGATATATAAAGAAAGGATGAGGTGGTATTGGTAGAAAAGATAATATAAAGATGACTCTAAGGGGAATAAAGGGAAAAATAAGCAATTTTATGGCTAGTGAGTCCACCCAGATCTTTCATCGTATAATCAAGAACTTGTCTGTGACATCTCGCCCATCTCCTTGCATTAAAGTAGTGTGTCCACATTCACCATGCCTGCGTTCCTCTCACACATCAAATGATGCTTGTTCTTACAGAAGGTAGGGTAAATTTTCCCGTCATAAAAATAAGCACAATTCATATTTTCTCTTTCATTTCCAGAAAGCTCAAACCTGTGAATGGAAAAGGTAGAATTAGTTCCTCTAAAAGCTATATAAGTAGTCAACAATTCAACTCTGCATGAAAGTACTTTGTCCACAAAGTGGAAATACAAAGTATGGGGATTAAAGTAAAAAACAATGTTCAGATCATTGAGAAATTTTCAGTATGCTTGTGAATATAAAGTATGTACATCTGCTTAAGTCAATAGCAATTCAGTACAGCTTTGACTAAGCAAAAAGTGAGCAGTAAGAACAGTAGGAGGGAGAAAGAGATGGATGGGATCTGAAATGACAGGAAAGGCTTTTATCTTTTCATCTTTTCATAGAAGATCACACTTTGGTTATGTCTTGAAAGAAGGGTAGGATTTAGGTAAACAGAGAGGAGACAGGAGAGCCCTGTAGGGCAAATAGCTGCACAAAGATGGAATAAGCTCAAGGAAAAGTAAGTTGACTAAATAATTTTAAAATGAAGATTTATGTTGTAGGGTAACAGAAATAAGGCAGCACCGTCTATTGTAATCGCCTATTAACTTGTCTATATGCCCAGCTGTGCTGCTTATGACAAGGGAACAAAGAATGTATAGATCTAATTTATTTGCCAAATATCTATGGGATACCAACTACGTGCCAAAGTTATTGTGTGTGCCAGTATTGGTAGAGTAAACAGAGACACGGTCCCTTCTACTGGGGAACTTACATCATAGTAAGAGGATATTGGTAAGAAGCCAATAAATAGAAAATTTCAGAGAGTGGTAAGAGTTAGGAAGAAATGAAATGGTGTGATAATGGACTTGAGTGGATGTGGGTGGAAGGAACCTAATTTAGTTTGGGTAATTAAGGTTGACCTCATTGGGGAAGTGTTTAAACAGACATGTGAGTCACAAGGGGGAGCCCATCATGGAGTTTGGACATGGAGCATTCTAGAAGAAAACAGTAAGTACAAAAGCCCTAAGACAACAAAACAAGTTTTATTTGTTGAAAGCACAGAGGTTTCCCAGTTTGCCTGCAATATTGTGAAGGAGGCAGCAAATGATAAGAGATAAAGCTCAAGATCTATGAAGAAGTTTGCTTATACTTGCAGTATCCTTTGCTCCTACGCACAGTAAACATTTAAGTATCTGTTGAAAAAAATGAATTGAAAATTTAAGTAATGATCAGATCATACAAGTTGTGTTTATCAGTTTTAATTTTAACTGGAGAGACCTTACAGTTTTGATATACAAGATGACCAAAGGTCTTGAGATTGGAGATTGGAAAGCCACACTAAATAACTCTTACTGTAATGCCTCCTTTGCCTGGATTAGCTGTAGAAGGATGGAGCATTGTGATATGAATACTAGAACCAACTTGTGAATGATGGTGTGCCTGAATCTTGGAGACCCCTAGGGAGGAAAAGTAGGTAAAATGATACTGAAAAGTGAAAAGAATCCTCAACACAATCACTTTCAACCATAAAATAACAAGAATGATCATTTTGTTCTAAAAATATGTGAAGGGAGTCAGATCAGGTCACACACACACACACACACACACACACACACACACACTCCAATGGTAAATTTGAGGGTAGAAATGAATGGGGAAAAATACCAGAACAGAGGTGGATTGTGACTTAGATAAAGAGCAAAGGAATGGGAGGGTAAGTACAGTAGAATTGTCTTATTACCAGGGTTCACTTATTAGGAGTAGAGTGTCAGTGAGTGCTGCTCCTTTTATAGCACACAGTAGGTCATGGAGCCACCTCCAAGCTTTAAGTAGCTCGTTTTCAAGAAGGCAGAGGATCTCAAGAATAAAATCTGCTCATTGTGCCTTGTATTCTGAATGTCCATTGACTTACACATTTTTGGAGGGCACAGAGCCATCTTCCCACATCCAGACCTCAGTAGAGTTCTTGCGGGACAATCCAACCCAACGAATTAATCTAGTCCTGGACTTCATGTATTCCTATTGCAAATACAGACAAATATAATGGTCAACCTGCTTGCACAATTCTTGTAACGATGTAAAGACATTCATGGTAAGACCCTGAACAACAATAACAAGTTAGATGTATGTCTATGTGAATGTTAATTAATTATATTTAATATTTAGAATTGTGCCAAGTTCACTTGTTTTAGAATAAAAAATTGCTTGTAGAATACAGAAAAAATGTTTACAGAAGGCAGATATTGTAACCTTTCTATATGTTTATCTTCCATTGACTGAAGACTAGAGTTTCAAATAGAGTACCAAATATAGCTCTTAAATAAGATAATGGTGAATGACTAGAGAAGGAAAATAAAGAAAGAAATATATTGTTGGTGAAACATTATTACTCTCTACATTTAACTTTTACTTGCTTTGGATTCTTGTTCAACTTAGTTCTGTAGTAGCCTACAATATTTACATTGTAAATATTAATTTGTTTTGGTTGATTGAGTAAAAGGAATTATATGATGTCATTCTCAAAGGGATTACAAACAGCATTTGCTTTTCCTAATTTACATTTTTTAATTTAGGAATTATTACTATTTACTATATGATACACTATACCCATTTGTTTTGTTTGTTGCCTCTTTCTCCAAGTAGAACATAAGCTCCTGAGGTTAGGGACTTCTGTCTGTTTTATTAACTGCAGAGGTTCAGATTCTGGAATAGTTCCAGGGCATATTTGGCAAATTAATGGAGAAATCAATCAGTCGATCAATCAATTCATGGGTAGCAAAATTAAAAAGAGTCAAATAGTCATATGTTCTCATATCTCCCAGAAAAACAGATAGGTGAGAGTGCATTCTTGGCAAATAAAAAAATGACTCAAGCTTCTTAACAGAAGTGAAACACAGAGTAAGAGATAATGTGTGAAAGTGACTTTTGACTGCTTATTTATTTATTGTAATTTTTTAAAGATTTTATTTATTTAAGAGAAAGAGATAGTGAGAGAGAGCATGAGTAGGGGTGAGGGGACAGAGGGAGACTTCCCTCTGAACAGGGGGCCCTACGTGGGACTCTATTCCAGTACCCTGGGGTCATGATTTGAGCTAAAGGAAGATACTTAACCAACCAAAAAACCCAGGCGCCCCTTATTTATTTATATTTTTAAAGATTTATCTATGTATTTTAGATTGAGAGAGAGAGCGCGTGATCAGGGGGTGGGCAGAGGGAAAGAATCTCAAGCAGACTCACCGCTGAGCATGGAGCCCAAAATGGGGCTCAATCCCAGGACCCTGAGATCACAACCTGAGCTGAAACCAAGTCAGATGCTTAACTGGCTGAGCCACTCAAGCACCCCTATTGCTTATTTTTTTAAAGCGTGAGCTACCCGTCCCCTTTCTGTTAACTCCTGTTCCATTCTTTAAGATACATCCACATGACATACTTCACTATACGAAGTATATTCTCCCTGAAATTCAACTATTCTTTGTTTCTCAAAAATGACATTACTTCCTCTCTCATGTATAAACCTCCAACCTGGTATCAGTTTAGAATACCAAGATTCAAGACATATTTGTATACTTCCATTTAGCCTCTTGTTATTGAAATTGAGATTTTAGGACACTCTCTTATTTTGCCTGATTGGAAAGAAAGTTAATTTACTTACCTGAATATCTTCTCTATGAGTTTGAGTCCACAAAAGCAGTTAGTGAGTGGTACAGCAGTTAGAATAACAAGGCAACAAATGATCATGAGTGTCAAGGGAATGATCTCCTCATGTCTGGTCCATTACTGTGGACTTCATCTCAGGAAAAGTATAATCAGTTTTGTTAATCAATTATAGCAGTTCTGTAGAATAGACTGTAGTTCTGTAGAATGACTGGCTTGACTATTTGAGTTCAATTTAATGTCTGCACACAGCCCAAACCAGATCTTCTACTTGCTTTTGTTTTTAATATACAGAATCTGAATAAATACCATATTGGAAGTTGTAGGTTAAGCACCATAAATAATTTCTGCTTTTTAAAAAATGTTTTAATAAATCTATTATTTGGCAGAAGGGAGACTCCAAGGCTTGGTTTCTGGTTTGTTCCCAGGATTCACAAAAAAGAGAAAGGCTATATTAAATAATAAAGGGAGAGTGCATAAGTGGATGTGAACATATTTTGTTTCAAAATAGAGCCTTTGTTAGAGGAAATGTGGAGCCTGTTTAAGAGGAAAATGTGGAAGAGGAGACATGTTTAGTAGAAAAATTTCAACTGAAATCCTGCGTGTTTCACAAATGAGATTATTCCCAAAACTATGGAAGAGCCTATGAAAAGGTGAAGTCTGCATCGTTTCTTCAAGTTCAATTGTTCAACAATTTAGCAGGAACTAAGGACTCATGTAATATTGGGATGACAATGCTATTTATATTTTACAATGCTAGAGTTTCTTTGTACTTTCAGATCCTTTTATGGATTAGTAAATGCAATCAAGGAAACTGAGAAAAGTGAAATGACTTGTCACAGAGATAATACCTGAACTCTCAGTCTCATTAGTTCATGTTAACCCTTTCTATTCTTAAATGTGGTCATTTCTACTGGGCTTGATAAGGCTCTCAGATTAGCACAGGCTGGAAGACAAGAGAAAAAATATACATATATATTTTTTAAAGTCGAATGTTTCACTTAAGATTCTTCTTATGACTCGAGTATACGTGACATAGGAATCTCCTTACCAGAACGTTCTGACTGGCAATTTTCAGCAAAGTAGCATTCATGTTAATACAGAACTGCTTACTCTCTTCCCATGTCAAGTTGTGCCTGAAGAATCCATAGCAGCTCTCTCCATAATATCTCCAGTTTCTGTCACATGGGCTGCATTTATGGCCTTAAGGTGAAACCAAGCAGAGGAATCCATACTTTTTACTTTCACTTTCCCCATAATCAGTGTCTTCTGCAGATCTCCAGATTCCCTACAGATAACAACACAGAACTACTCCAGGGGGGGAGGGGAGATGAAGAGGTTACAAAACCATACTTACTGACACTGTTCTTTTGTTCCAATTGTTTTATTAAATATTGACAGTACTTCTTTGCTACTTGGTGCAGAGTTCCTGAGACATTTTTATTCTCCACTTGGTGGTGGTTTAGCTCTCTGACAGCTAGGTGTAAAAATTAGATAATAATTTGTAATCAGGATCGTATGGGTGATGCAAAGACCTTTCAAAGAACTTTAATTTCAGAACTGTCAATCTGGAAAGTGTTTACTAGATACACATGAGTAAATGAGTACTGCAAAGGGGTCTGGGTAAAGGAGGATATAAAGAACAAATTAAGAACTATAAAAAATTGACACCTGATTCTTATCCAAAAGAAGACATGAACTCTATGAAGAAGAAAATCACAAACAAGAAAAATGCCATGATCAAATTGCGTGCCCAAAACGAATCTTTTGATATTCCTTTGAATATAGATTTCTAAGCAGATTTCAGAGGAGAATGACACCTGTTATTTTGTTTTTCATGTAATATCAAAATATCCATTTATTTAAAAAACACTAATTTCTTGTGCCCAAAATAGTATGATATTCAAGTGAATAAACAATGGTGAACAAAAGATTCCAAAATATCTTGTGAACAAATAAACAAGCACACAAACAGGCAACAGCTACATGGATGGTAATGTGATACTGCGGGCTGTTAGATTTATAAAAAGAAAATATATATAAATGAAATGGGATATTAATTGCTTCTGAGTGAAAGTAAATGCATTCATTAAACAAAGTGAAAAGGAGGGCATTTTAGGAAGAGGGAATACAATGGAGAGAAATTTCAGACAGGGAAAGAGGATCTATCTGTGAAACAGAAAAGTCTATGTTGGCTGGAACTGAAGATAGGCAGGATAGAGAGAGAAAAAAAAAAAGAGAGAAGATAGTGTGAATCTAGATTAAGGTGGATCTTAAAGACCAGTTTAAAGTTCTTGAAATAATTTCAATTAAAGTGATTTGAATCAGAAGGAAAAGTCAGAGCTCTCCATTATTGAGAATATCTTGGCAGCCAAGTATAAGATGACTGAAGCAGCAACAAAGAGACACACAGTGACAATCAAGCTTAGTGGCATACACCAGGACTCAGGTTGTGCTTTCCTCAGAACAAATCTTTTGCAATGAGTCAATACTTACACATCATTCCCAGAGCCACCAGCCCAACAACTAACCCCATGCACAAGACCAGCAGAATCAAAGCCGTCACACGCCACAGAGGTGAGGAAGCAGGGTCAACTGTAGACATAGAATACAGATGTTAGGGGGCAGGCAATATGGCATAGCTATGGGGCAGTGTCACCCCTGCCCCCTGCCCTCTCAAGGCATTCTGAGTGATGTAAACAGCTTCGTTGCCAGGTCTTGCTGGTGTTCCCTTGGGGATCATCAATAGAAAGTACAGCCCATTCCCATTCCATACATCGGTCCTTTTCCAATGGACTTTTCTCTGAGTCAAAACAGAGGTTTGTGTTTTGTGTCTTGTTTTGTGCCCAACCCCATAAACAATTGCTTTTATAAGCAACAAATGAAGAATCACACCTATTTGCCAACAACTGAGAAAATGAGGTTATAACACATTCTTTCCTCTTATTATCTTGGTTTCTATTCTACCCAACATTAAACTGTATAAGCCTTAACATAAAGTTCTCTGCTTTCATCTCTTGTTGCTTATATTCTAAATAAATCTGTCTGAGCCTAAGTAGGTATTACTCAAATTCTGTAGAGCAGGAAGGTCATCGGGAAAATAAAATAAAATGGTACGTGCTATCACTAGTAGAAAAAGGAAAGTGGGGTTGACCTATTTCAATAATTAACTTCCAGATCCCTGGCTCTGGGTATTCTTACCTGAGGTGAGAGCTGGCTTTCGATTTTTAATATTTAAAGTGATGTATCCATCTTCGTCCAGCATGGCTTCCCTTGGACTGCAAGTGAGCTCAGGGTTCAATGACTTTGCAAAATTGCAGTGTCCACTCTTATAGATTTCAGTGCCTGCTAGTCCATGTTCCTCCTCTTTCTGGTAAGGTGGAGTTATATGAGTTGGGGCACATATTTTTGGTCCTGTTTTGTTCTTGTTTTATGGATCTTTTTTCTTCCAGGAAGCCCTTTCATAGCTGTTCAGAGATACATGGACCTTGAGCATAAAAATATAAAAATAATAACTTGCAGTAAAGGAGTAGATATCACATTTGTTTCCTGTTTTCTTATCTTCAACTCTGAATGAAGGAATGTCTCCTTATTATATCCTTTCAAAGAACAAAAGTTCGTGCTTCATCTTAACCTTAGTGGAGTCTAAATAGTATTGTTTAAATGAACTGCTTTCTGACGAAAATTTGTGGATAAAACACGAGCAGATACATAGTCTGTTCCATTGTGAGGAGCACATCTAATGTAATTTGATCAAAAATGACCTAGAGTAGATGTTTCAAGGTCTTGTGTTCGAAGATGCCATTCCTAATTATGATCTAGAATTCATCCAAATTCTTGCATTGTTCACAAATCATATTGTTTAAAAATTTGAGGACTCCACAGGAGGCAGACTTCATATTGCTTGGATTTAGGCATTAAATAAAAAACAATCAAATAAAGTGAAATAATATAGAGTTAGTGATTACTGTCTTTCAGTAATGTTTTCACTTTAAAGTGAACATCCAGGAAAGGAAAAATCTTACGTGAAATTGTGTAATTTCAAGTACAGTGGTGCTTCAAAGAAGAGCTATTTGTGGAAGGGACAGGTTCCTAGTGCCCTTCACACTGGAGTGTGACTATACTATAGTAACTATATGTAACTATAACTATAGTCAAACACATTTAACTATAAAATGGGTTTTCAAATTATTACTGCAGCTCACATTGAAAGGAATTAGAATAGCTAGAGAAGGCTAGCTGCCGTACTAATGAAGGATATTAGTGAGGGTGCTGTCTATTTTGTCATTGGGTAGCTTTTATATAGTTTTGGAGTAGATATGTATTTTTTATTTTTTTGTTAAACCTTTATGGCCAGAAAGTTACTTCTAAGTAACTTCTAGGCATTTTTCTTATAAATAATCTTATTTTTATGGTTTCTTTAGTTAGTAGTGTCTTAGACTTTACTTTTCACTATAGAAATCACGTAAGATGTCACAGCAGGTATTTTGATTACTAATGTTCCATTTGGTACATCTCATACATATTTGTCCTTCCTTTCTGTTATCTCCTTCACTCTGAATTCTTTGTCAATTCACTTAAAATAATATTTCATCTTAAAATTTCTTGCCCTACACAATTCAAATAATTTTAAAAGTGAGGTAAAGTATAAACAAACAAACAAACATGAAAGGCATTGCCTGATTTAAGGAACCTAAACTTAGCATGATTTAAATATTTTCACTAAAAACCAATCATTGTCAAAAACCCCACTTTTAATAAATATCAAATCTAATCAAAGTACTGAAAATCACATAATCAAAATTCTTAAGCCCCACGCCCATTTTTTCCACTGGGTTTTGTAGCTCAAGTAAAATATTCGGTGTTTCCCAGTCATAAGCAGGGTAAATCCAGATCTTTAGTCGATCATTAATCTACCTCTGCTTCCATCTGCATAATTTCTCATTCAATCAAAGTGGACTGTAGCTCTTCCTAGCAGTGCATGCTAACCCCTATCTCCCAGCACAGCCTGGGAATTATTCCGGGCCTCCCTTTCTGGCCGCCTTTATTCATACACCAAGTTCTGAGGCTTTTCTTCCACCTTTACTCCTCTGTTTCATGTTCTTCCTGTCACTATCTTACATCAGCTTTTTTTTTTTCAGAAATCCTGAAAAAATAATTGTGACTTAGTGACAGAAAAGAATGTGGAGGGTTTAGTTCAAGTTAGTTTTTCTATCAACTTTTACTCATTTCTCTTAGTAACCAAATATGTAACTTCTGAAAATTTATAGTTAAATTAAATCAAATATGTAAGTGCAAGATCCATGGACATTTGGAAGCCTTTACAATTATTGTAAACATTTTCATGTTCAATTAGCAGATACTTTCAGGAGGTATGAAACATAATAGCTTGATTTGTTGTGGTTTCCACATTTTCTAAGTCTTGGACAATTGGATGAGTTATAAAATATCCCATTCATTCTTCTTGCAAATAGCAAAGAATATGCTGGACTTACTTGATTCACGAATACTTAACATTGTACATTTAAGAAACCTAAGCCTCAGATGATATTCCTTTCCTACCCATAGCTCAGCCTTGGGACTTTCTTTTTTTTTGTTTGTTTGTTTGTTTGTTTGTTTTGTTTTTTTCCTTTTAATGATTGCAATGCATCACTGGGTTTTGGATATTTGATAACACTAGTCGCAGGCTGAGGGTCTTATGTCCATATCTAGGCTCCACAAAAATATATTTGCCTTTATTTGTAAGCCCCCAACTTGGCATGGAGGTGTTAGGAAATAGGCTGGTTGAGTACAGAGTCCCTCAGGGTCAAAGTAGTCCCTGATAACATTAGTCTTTGTTCTGTTTTCTTCCTCTACATAGGCTATAAATACAAGCTGAGTTACTCAGCAAAAAATTAAGCAGAGAACTGCAGGAAAAAGAAAGAGATTACAAACTTTTCTTTTTCCTTTTCCAAAATCCAGAGGCTTTGCTAGATACCACTTTTTTTTTTCCCTTAAGAAAGCTCTTCTGCCAACATGAGGCTCAAACTCACAACCCCAAGATCAAGAGTTATATGCTGTACCAACTGAACCAACCAGGTGCTACTTTGTTAGATATCTCTTACTCACCCTACAAGGTCTGTCATTGGTATGTTTGTATATTTTATTACCCCTCTTTTCTTGGCATAGTAAAGTATAACAGAAAAAGTCCTTATTGCAAATATTCTGATGAGTTTGAATTTGGAATAAAAATCTTTGTTTAGTATTTGAGAGATTAAGAGGCACTTAAATAAAGCCATCTCTTTAATTTTAAAGCAAATATATTTTAACAATTTCAGACACTGAAATTGGCAGTGAATATTCACGGAGAAAGTCATGGTATTTTTCTTTATGGAGCAGTCTTAGATTTTAGCTATCTAATCTTGATTTGTTTGTATTTAGAACGACTTCCCAAATCCTACCATATGCCAAGCCCACATTCCTGTCCCTATTTATTATTTATTTATTTATTTATTTATTTATTTATATTTCAGAGCCGTTGCACAGAAGCAGGGAGAGGGGCAGAGGGGAAGGGAGAAGGAGAGAGTATCCCAGCAGACTGCACTGAGGACAGATCCACACCTGGGACTTGATCACATGACCCTAAGATCATGACCTGAGCCAAAATCAAGAGTCCAAGGCTTAAGCCACTGAGCCACCCATGCGCCCTTCCTGTTCCTCTTTCTTGTTTCACTCTTTTCCCATTACACTTAACTCTCTCTCTCTCTCTCTCTCACACACACACACACACACACAGGTATTTTTGTCATGTATCCCCAAAGAATATATTCCATGGTCTAAATTAGTGTCCAACATACAGTAACCATCTGGTAGATATTTGGTAAATGAGGGCATTGTCATCCTGATATTACACATGTAGAAAGAAAAGGTTAAGAAAGGTGGAGACATTTCTACGATCATACTGCTTGTAAAAAGCAGTACCATCTACCTAGTTTCCAAGTTCTTTCAACTACTTTATAAAGTCTTTCAAATTTGAGGATTGTCCAGACTCCATTATCTATGTTTATAGCTGAAGAATGAGTAAACACAAGACTCACAATGACAGGGAAGAGATTCAATAAGAAATCAGTGGAATTCATAACATTGTGGATAAGACTGTTCAATACATAATGAGGGCTAGTGGGTGTGTAAAAGAGAAAGACCAAAGGAAAATGATGTTGACTATTATGGATGCTTTAATAACGTCTCTTAACTGAAAAAAATATGTAAAGGAAAGGAGAATTTTGTAACTGGTGATTTTTTTTACAAACTTTCTTTTTCTTTTTCCTTTCTTTTTTTAAGTTTCAGAGGTAGAATTCAGTGATTTATACATAGCATATAATACCCAGTGCTCATTACGTCAAGTGCCCTCGTTGATGCCCATTACCCAGTTACCCCATCCTTCCGACCACCTCCCCATTTCCCATCTAAATCCCTCAGTTTGTTTCCTACAGTTAAGAGTCTCAGACTTTTTAAGGCACATCACTTTTATGCTAACCCTTAGGTGTAACTATCAGTGATGTCCTGTTCTTTCTCAATCCTCTGCATTAATATTGTTGGTTCACCTCTGACTTACTAGCCTTCAATACACATACCAAACATCGTTTATCCTTGATAAAAACTAGAATTTCCTGTCATGAAAAAAAACATAATTTATATCTTCTCTTTCATTTCTGGAAAGCTTAAACATGTGGACTGAAAAGTGTCATGTTTTATTAAAAGTTCATGAGCTAAACAATGAATAACTATCAGATGACAACTGTGGCAGAGTGTTTTGTTACAGAGCAGAAAAAATAAAGGGGAAAATGTGTCAGACAGCATCTACCACACTGAGACGTTTATCATACATGTGCATACAAAATATATGTAAAGTTAAATAATAATCAAACAGAATATATAAGCCTTGAATTAAGATTTGAAGGAAAGGCAAAGATTACGGAAGAAGAGAGAGAAGAAAGGAATATTTTTTTTTTATCAGGTGGGGCAAACATCTGAACAAAGCTGTGGAAGTATGAACGAGTGTGGTGTGATCAAGGAAAGCAAAGTGATCAAGCATATCTGAACTGCGGATTCATGTTACAATATATTGGGATATAAAGCATTCATTAACAAGGAATCTTGGAACACTACATCAAAAACTAATGGTGTATGGTGACTAACATAACAAAACAAAAATTTTAAAAAATAAATAAAAAGTAAAGACTCCTGTTAAAATCACTATGAAATGTACATTTCAGGGACCATGAATTAATCCAGTATTTGAACAAACATTTCTTGATCACTTTTTGTGTCTCAAGCACTATTCTATTTCCTGGGATAACATGGTGAAAAAAACATACAAAAGCTGTGCTCTTATTGAGCTTATATTCTAGTGGAGGCTGGTGAACATAGATAGGAAAGAAGCAAAGGAAGAAAAAAGCAACATAATTTCAGATCATGATAAGTATTATGAAAAAAAAAGGAATAATAGAGCTTTA